AAGGACTTTCCGAACAACCTAATAACTTGCATAGGAATTGAGATAATTGAGCTTAAAGATGACAGTGTGGGATCCCATCTACCAGGAAACCTGTAATAGAAATCCTCTCACTGCCAAGTTTGAGCTCAATTATCTCAATTCCTGTGCTTGATATCAAAAATCTATCAACTGACAAAATGTTGCTGAAAACATGACAAACAATTCATCAGTTGAAAACTTGTTCATATTTTTACAGGAACCCAGAACAATTGGTTCAAAGCTAAAAGTTAGGAGACGCTTCTATTGCAGGTATTACGGTAATCGAATTTCATAATAGCTAATACTTTCTTAACAAATTTTCTTTGAAGTAAATTTTCAATTTCAGCTGTCACCGGCTTTTTTTCACAATTACTGGAATTCTACGTCTAGCAAGAAAACAAAAAAATTGTTATCCCCACAAAACTATCATAAACTAGAGATCGGCTGAAAACAAGTGGCCATTTTAAAATTGCATTTTGGAAAATTTCCAGAAAGAGAAAAAAATCTGAAGATCACGCGAGAGGCCGCTCTATTGTGGATCGCTTTGAATTCTTTGAATAAAAGCGACGACTGCCTGGAAAACAGCAATTTGTTGCAAAAAAAAAGAAGAATAAACTTTTTTTGTATGAAAAGGTGTGAAAAGCCATATGAAGGAACAAAATACGAAAAAGAAGAGGATGGAAATATCTATCCGTTTTTTTTTTCAAAAATATTTTCCACAGTCAGTCCAATTCAATAAGTTTTTACCCCCCTTCAAGTTTTCATATTTGTTCTCGCGTACCTCGGAATCATGAAACACTTGTCCGAATGGTTGTTGAAAGGGGGTGAAGAGAAAAAATGGAGTCGTTGTCCTAGGAAAACGTTTGGAAACTTTTGAAAAAAAAAAGGTCACACACTTTTGTGTAAGTATAAAGAGGTACATATTTGTGCAAAGAAACGGGTTGTTGGAGATGTTAAAGTTGTCAAAAGAAGAAAGTGAAAATTATTTCCTATTTTAACATTTTTGTTTCTCAAAATTGCTGTGTGCACTTCTAAAGAGTAGAGGAATAGATCAAAAATATTTTCGAAAAAAAACAGAATTCTATGAAGCGAATTTTTTTCTGGAAAGCCTATTCAAAAAACGTTGTGTTCGGGCAGGAAATAAACGAAAAACATGTCATCAGCTACTTCCTCTCTGTTGATGGGAGGGACGAGAAGCCAATTTTGTTTGACAACTTCAAAATCAACCTAATTTTATGGGAGGGTGATACTTTTTTAGTTCTAACTAGAGAATATATAATAGCTGACTGATTTTAAGGAAGCTGTGTGAATCCAAAATCCAGTTAGAGTTCGAAAAATCAATATTACCAAAAGTTTCTCAACTTCTATTTCAATTTTTGTTGAAAATTGTCAATTTAAGATGTCTAAAACAGACATTGAAATTTGTTGAAAATCTCGATTTCTACCAAAAAATAGATCTTCAATTATGTAAATGACTACTTTCAGAATAAATACATATGAATTAGATAGAACGATTGGAAGCACTCAAGTTTCAGAAAATTCAGAATAAGGCTTGAGTGAAGGAGAGTGACTCTTGATGAGTTTATACAAAAAAGTGGTTAATTACGAAAATATACAGTAAATATACATAACTGGTGGCCCATACTCCGGACGAAGGTACATCAAAAGAAGGTACGTTGAGGGTACATCATGCTCAGGGGGTACATTGACTCAGAGGGAACATAGTTTAAAGGAGTACATCTAGGTAGTTGTCTCACGATCAGTGGGCCAATATCAGCCTAGATGTACCAATCCCTAGGTTTATCTACTACCTAGATGTACCTTTTTAGACTATGCACCATCTGAGTCAATGTAACCTTTGAGCATTATGTACCCTATTTCGATGTACCCTCAAAGTATGGACCAGTGCGGGTCAATTGGATTTTTAAAATAATTTTTTTTTGTTGATTTTCCACCATTTTCACGATATTTCGCCCGTTTTTTGTACTGAAAAATGTGAAAAAAGGTGTTTTTCAGAACTGAGCAATTAGCTGAAAGACTAGGAAATTTCGAAAAAGAAAGACTAGAAAATTTCGAAAAAAAGACTAGGAAATTTCGAAAAAAAGATTGGAAACTTGATGGCCGAGAACCAGACTAATGAAAATGATCAAAATGTCCGAAAATCAACTAGAAAATATGTTTTGTATAGCTTGTTCACCGGTACTGTACATAGCAAGGTAGGCTAAATGAAACTAAAAATTTTCAGCACTTTCATAACAAAATCAGAACTCCAATTTTGTATATGACAATGTTGTCGTACAAATTTATTCAAATGAGGAGAGTTGTCCAAAATAGGGCCGGTGCTTTTTGGTTAGGGTACTTCTGGGATAGTTCGGATTTGGCGGTCCCCCAAATCCAAGCCGCTAGGCCCTAGTATGTTCGGGGGTGCTGAGCTTATTTCCAAAGGTACGGAAGGTTTGGTTCATGGCAACCTATCATGATCTGGGCTTCGTCTTTAACTCTGACAGCCATTTGTTAGAACTGTAAGTATCCTAGCTACCAATTGCTTTAAAGGTGGGGGGACAGGAGGTTTTTCGTAGTTTTTTTGTAGCTAGAGTATTCATTCTACCGTCACGGTGTACAACGCTTAATGTCACTCTGCGTACAGCTGTCGTCCTCGCCTTTATGTATGCAATCGGGCGTGTGCTTTCTCTTTGCCCGCGTAGCTCAGTCGGTAGCGGCGCCGCACCCTCAATCATCGCCCTCACAAGTTCAACTCCTCGAGGGGCATCTTTGAACGAAATTTCGAGAACATTATTTTTTTTTTCATGTCCCCCCACCTTTAATATTTTTCAAACTACACCGTTTTTTCTAGATCAAATACAGTTCCATTCCCTCCATCTTACCCGCGACACAACAGAAATTGGATAGTGTCGCGTTCAAAGTCTCCTAGAACAAGAACACTATAAGTAAAGTGACAAAAGACAGCAATGTTTGACCAACTAGTCGAGTTGCCATGACGAGACGTGTCTTACGGTCTTTGGTTTTGAAAATATCGTTTCTCTGACCTTTTGATATACTTAAGTACCGTTTTCTTATGTATTTTTTTGAAATTTTGCGCGCCACAATAACTTCTATCATCCATTTATGTCATCGGGAATTTCCAAGTACAGTTAAAAACGCGGAACTTGAAAACGTCTCGACAATTTGAACCTTATGGTCGGGTTTTTGGGGAAAAAAGGAGGAAAAGAAGAAATGTTTCTCAAGTGATGAGTACTGGTAGACAAGATGGAACAGATGGGATTTTCACAAGAAAAACTGATTTGAGAGAGGGTGAAATCCAAAGTGTATTGTATTTCTCAGCTTTTGTCTATCTTATGTTCCGCCAAAGAGTGTACCTAGGTGTTTACCGACATCTCACAGCTTTTTACCATCCTCCTAGTACCATCATGTCATCTGTTATTTGCACTGGTCTCTCTTTTTTCAATCATTAGATGTACATAATAATGTGATTTTACTTGTCTCCGGCTCCCTTTTGTTTGGTTGATCGCTTAGAAGATGTTTGAAATTTAGCGTGAGAAAAGCGAACGAGATCAGATTTAGTGAGCGAGAAAGAGAAGATGAGCTGTGAAAAAGAAAACAGAACCAAAACACAATGAGAAATAATTCATTATACTGGAAAATTTTTGGAAAAAGTGAACCTAGTGGAACTAGATATCCGGTGACTAAAAAGATACCCCTAGAAATCTACACACACATGGCAACTCGATAGGAAGAAGGTGGAAAAGTTTGGAGGTAGACAAGCGGTTCATTGGTTTTTGGCGCGTTGTTTGAAATTCGAGACCAAGGAAAGGGATTCCCTAGTTTTACGGTTTTTTTTTTCAATTTTTTGGATCTAGATACTCATGGGGATACAAGGAAAGCAAACTTCTAAGGAAGCACATTAAGACATAGCCAGCCTATAAATCATTAGACATGCAGAGAACACACACCTAATCTTTTCTTCTCCGAAAATCTGTTTTTTTCAGGAGAGACACATTAAGAATGCTTCGAAGAAAAATGTGTTGGTCGTCGTCATCTCATTATTATGTATGTCAGGCAAGGATGTTCAGTCAAACTAAGAAAAACTTTTTTCCAGATGGGAAATGAGAAAATGTGTACCAAGTCTGAAAATATTACATGAGATGGTGACACATCTATTTTTGAGGTTACGTTTTTTTAAAGGTGCAGTGGGTTGAGTTGGGAAACGTTACAGAAGTTCTAGGATACATAAAACACATTTTAGACAAGTCAAGAAGTCCGGTTGTCTCTCAACACTTTTTCAATTTAAATTTCATGTTTTGAGTTAATTCCAGGTCACCAGCAGTGTGTGACTTCCGATTTTCACTTACCGGTAACGGCTTTTTTTGATAGTTTTACAGGTAATTTACCGAGGACTACACGAACCTTTTTTTCTGCTAATTCGCTAGTTTTTTTTTGACAGTTTTGCAACAGTTCTGAAATTGTCAGTTCTAAAACGTCGCGGTTCTGAAACGCCGCAGTTCTAAAATGTCGCGGTTCTAAAATGTCGCGGTTCTAAAACGTCGCGGTTCTAAAATGTCGCGGTTCTGAAACGTTGCAGTTCTGAAACGTAGTGGTTCTAAAATGTCGCGGTTCTAAATCATCGAAAAAAAAACAAAAAATTTTCCTAGAAATTACCGGTAGTTTTCGGTAAATTTACCGGTAAATTATCGTTAATTTCACCGGTAAATTGTTTTATGTAAAAATAATAATAAAAGACGGACCGTGGCTCCTGACAAAAGCTAAATAACGAAATTTAAGCTTTGAATGTAGATTTGAAATAAAAACCGTTTCATTTTTAAAAAAAGAAGAAAACATGGAATAATTCCAATTCGGAACAACAAGTTGTAAAAAAATGACGGTTGACTGAATAGATTATAACTTCAAAATTACTTCTTGTGGATTTTTGATTTGATTTGTTCCCAACTGCAATAATTACTCTTTTACTTTTTTGGCTCCTCGACTTCGGGGTACATTTTATCGTTCAAATCAAATTTGATGAATTGTTTAATAACCCTGAAAATAAAATTTAAGAGTTTTGGTTTTTTTTTTCGAATTCTTACTCCGCTTCAATATGGAATTCACCGACGTGATGGCTAATTGTGTTGAAATGACCATCTGGATAGCAATTGTGGATCACATCAATGTCAATGTCATGGTGTGGCTGGAAAACAAGAATCTTCTACTTTTAAAGATTTCTCACTTACAGTATCCGTTCCATTAGTTTCAGCGATTCCTTCGATTTCAAAATGCTTATCGTGTGTTTTACTAGTGCCTTTGCTTTCTGAGATTATTGTTTTCCTGTAAAATTCAATGATTGATGATACGAAATTTTCAAAAAAAAAAACTCACGATGGTTGCGTCTTTTCAACAATTTGCACACTATATGAAAAGTCAGGCTTGTAGCAGAACAGTTCTCCTTCGAATACAAATTTAGTAGTGGATGAGCTAGAAATCAGAAAAAGAGGAATAATTAAAAATAGAAATTTCATTTTTTGTCTGACTCCGAATGAGAGACGTTGGGGCGACTGTGTCTGTTGGGAGTATTTACACTAATCCTTTCTGACATATGTGGGCTTTACCAGAAGCTTCTGGACGTCTCTGTTTCCTGGGAAAAGCAATAACTTTGGAAGGATGGGGGCGCCAGACAATGGACACCATGTGGAGAATTTGATTCATTGTTCTCAGCAATCTATGCGGAAAAATTCAGAGAAGTTGAACTAAAAAGTGTTAAAGAGAAAACAGAGATGTTACAGTGGCGGTCAGAAAGATCTACAAAAACATAATTTACTTTTGATTTTCGGCTATTAAGGGTTTTTTCAGAGCTCTGAAGCTCGGCTGTCAAGTTTCCGAGAGCGTTAAAAATTTAGAAGGACGTGAAACAAACCTACCGTAAAACCTCTAATAGAACGACACCCGGATCGTCCACTTTGAGCCTATATATCTCACTTCTTTTGAAAGATATCAAAAAGTGGTTAACTAGTAAAATGTTTATCAGGATATCAGCAACATTTTACTAGTTAGCCACTTTTTGATATCTTTCACAGAAAATGAGATATATAGGCTCAAAGTGGACGATCCGGGTGTCGTTCTATTAGAGGTTTTACGGTATGTAATTTCTAGGCCACTGTATATGGATAATCTAGGCCATGATATATGAAATTTCTAGGCCACCATATATTGGATTTCTAGTCCACCTTATACGGAATTTCTAGGCCACCCTATATGTAAGTTCTTAGTCATTTTATGTGAAACCTCTAGGCTACTATATATAGAATACTAGGCTACCATAGATGGAATTCCAAGCCCACCGTATATGAAAATTCTAGGCCACTTTATATGGAATTCTAGGCCGCCACCTTACCTTAACACAATTTTTTCCTCCTCCTCCTCATCGCCATCGCATGTTTCGACAATTCTAGACGACGTGGCCGCTCCAGATGACGTCAGTTTGTACGATTTGTAGACGTCTGGGAACGTTGAC